AAAATCCAGCACCCGGCAGCTAATGGAAATAATATAACGACTGTATATTGAAGAAAGTAACCGAATGTGAAAAGTTATTTATTACTCAAGCACGTGGTACTGAGATGAAACGATGAGCCAAAACGAAAAGAAATGAAAACACACACAGATAAACAAAACGGAGATTTCCATTAAGGAATCATTAACTATGTTCAATGTGGCGAAGAGAAATGGCAGTTATTTCTTATTTCTAATTTATTTTTATCTCTTTACTTTTGTGGAAAGAACCCGCAAAACTGTCAGAGAGTAACCAGGTGTTGGTGTTTTTAAATCTGCCTAAGATGCTCATAACAACTCTCCCTACTGTCTACCATAAGATCCATTAAATGATGCTTGTAAGTATTTATTGAAAAATAAAACAGTTCTACTCATCACTTTGTCGTCTGATTCTGTATTGATCGGGATGACTCAGGCCCCTTTGAGAGAATCAGAGGGGCCCTGGGGTCGATGCTGGCGCGCGAGGGTCATCTTGGTATATTGCAGAATATTCAACATGGCGGCGAAGGCATGCTTCGAGCTGTAGCGACTTTGAGATCAATTTTTTTGACAGTCATGGTAAATCTTACAACTGTTGCTCGGGCGAGGAAACCTACTATTATTTATGGATTCAAAAGAGGCAAGGTTCCGGCGAAACTTCGTCCAAATATACTTCCCAAACCTCAAGTACCTGGAGGTATACTTAAGTTGCACAAAGTCAAGCGATGACGATCTTTTTGAGCTGTTTGGAAATTTTTTCACTCTACTAGTGATAATAATTTTCATTATTTGATATTTTTATGTTTTAGAGGGAAGTTGTATGAATGAGATGTACAAGCTTATGGCATGCTGGAAAAGCAACGGATTTATCGACACCCACTGCCAAGAAGAAATCAATTTATTTCTCGACTGTGCTTCTAATCAGGTATTTTTAATGACTGTCTTGGTTTTAAAAATGACAACTTGCTTTACAAGCCTTTCAAACTAGTGTTTATTGTGGTTTGGGAATTTTCCATTTTTTTTTTGGCATTTGATTTTTGGTTTTCAGATTTGGTTTCGATGTGGTTTTCCGTTTTTCGTATGTGGGTACCACTTTCTTTTCGATCTGAGCAGCACTGATCTCAAATAGCTGCAAACTGATCTCAAATAGCTGTAAACTGATCTCAAATAGCTGTGGAACCTCTCTATCCTCCACTTGTCTCTGCTGGAGATCAAGTAGGAATTTGATAGTTGAGATGTCAAAATTTATTGGTTTTGCATGCGGTTTTTGATATTGATCCAATTTTTTTCCGGTTTTTCGTTTTTGGATGATTTTTTTTATGGTTTTGTGGTTTCTAATAGACCCCAATACCTCCCTCAACATGTATCCTGACATTTGGATTGCATACTGGTGGTCATTGTCAGGTGACAAGTTTGACTGGATACAGTTTACATGCAGGCAAGAATGCAATAACCTTCTCACTAGTGCCTCTCTCTAATTGTGTGGCTTAGGAGCTCAGTTGGTAGTAGAACTTAGCTAGTATCTGGAAGGCACTAGTTCAAATCCGGTTGAAGCCTGAATTTCTCAGGCCTCTTTTCTGCAATTGCTTGCAACCACAACAATTTCTTTGCTTGCAATACATGACTGTGGCAACATTTGGTTTCATGCTATGCTTACTTTTCACAGAGGTCAATACAAATGTGTAGGTGGGGCATAGACAGGATGTATCAAATTGTATCACAACCAGATTGCATGCATTGATCATTAGAAAAGTTTGCACAGGTATAAATTGGCCCAAGCTATTGTCATGGTCTGACTTCAACCCTCTCCTTTTCCATATTGATTTGCTAAGCCATCTGATTCAAATAATTGCAAACAATAGAAGAATAACAAGCATTAGAATTCACTGAACACTTTACACCCTAACATCAATATTCATTTTCTTCACAATGCTCTCTATACATCTCTTAAGGGACTGATAAATCTGAGTAACAATCAAGTACGTCTTGATTGTATTTTTTCCTTTATTCCCCAGACCTTTGCAGTTGTTTCAAAGGTGATAATGTGGGGGGAAATTAGAAGCCAGTCACTCTTAGGGGTTAAAGGGTTGAAATAAGAGAGACCTTGGGTTTAAAAATATCAAATAGGTAAGCTAGAGGCCCTCAGTTTTACACTTTTAAAAACTAAAATCTAAACAAACACTTTGACATTTTAGATTTGAAAGGTTTAAGAATTGAAGCCAGAAGTTTTCATTCTTTAGTGATTTTAACCAGAGAATTCTTTAATTTTAATTGTTGTTGTTAGTTTCTGTATAGCATTGTATGTTTTAATTTCTGTTTCTGTTGTTTGCAGATGGGCACAAGAAAATCTTCCTCTGCCTGGACCCTAGATGAAATAAATGCTACACTAAAGAGACACACTCCCTATGTGAAGAAAAGACAGAGTCATGAGTCGGACTCCTATATTGTGGAAGAAAGACACTAGGATAGAAGTGAGCCAACAAGAAGCACTCAGATGAGACTGCAACAGTAATCTGGGCATTTCCATGTTCTGTAATTAACAAGCCTATTTTTCAATTAGGACCGATTTTTGATGAAGTGTTATTAATTTATAAGCAAAACTTAAACTTATTAATCTCGTCAGCCACTCAAAAGTAAGCTAAACATCACAAGGAGATGTAAACTGGCATGATAGTGTAAAAATGGCGGGGAGCAAGTCACTTTTGATAAGGGTTTTATTAGTGATCAAGAGACTGAGGAGAGGGACAGACTGATGAGACAGTAGAAGTCTTCTAGACCATTGTTGAAAGATCTGATCAACTCCATTGTGTCTGTATCAATCACAGAATATAGAAATGCAATCATGCAAAATCATAGAGGCTAGAATAGTTTAAACACTCTTTTGACGGTATTACTTTACATGAATTTGTAGTGCTTGTAAGCTATACATATGAGAGTTATGCAATTCTACTTTAAAAGAACCTTTCTGTGTGCACTTAAGAAGCCTGAAGAAGTTCAAATGTTTAATTAACGAGTTCATATGATATCTGTAAAAATGTGCTGCTGAGTCAAAGTGAAGACATTCAGTGACTGACAGGATACAGTCAAACCTGTTAAAGTGGTCACCCACGAGTAATGGCTGGGTGAACGCTAAATAAAGGTTCCAAAGAATAGGGATAATCTAAAAAAAAAAAACTGCCATTTTATGCCATAATTGACCCCTTAATGTGCAAAAATCGCTTAAGAAGTACAACTAACATTGATTCCGGGAGAGAAACATGGATTAAATTTTGCTTGAAAGATTATTCCCAGTTTTATTTAAGTGATTCCGCTTCAAGTGACCGTTCAGCACAGATGGAGGACAGTACAAATTCACTTAAAGGTGACTTTGACTGCTAAATAGAGGTGACCGCTGAACAGAAGTAAAAAATTACAGTAACTAAGGGGAAGAAAATTCGGGACTTTCAGAACCTACCGCTCAACACAGGGTGATCGCCTCATACGGTGCCACTTAGTACGGGTTACGGTGGACTGATTTTTTTTTTATACAGATCAAAAATAAAGTAAACTTAAAGGACACAAAGGAACAGCCAAATCAATGAATTAAGGAAAAGCTCGATGACAAGCTACGGTTTGTCTTTTTTTGTTACAGAGAATTGCTTTTAAAGGGAAAAAAACGCTGGCGTAATCGTTTGCTAGTATTTTGTAACACCACAAGCCAAGAATAAATACATTTTAAAAAACTTCATCCCTCGCTCCCAATACCTAACTACATCATTCCTCTGCACGCGAGGTTGTTTTCCTGGGCCAAAACGCTCATCAGTCTCATCAGACACTTTGAAAACTACTCGTTGAGCATTCAGCCCAAAGTCGCACTTGCAAATTCAAGATATCAACTGTCTCCACATGAATTTATTTCAACTAGTCGGAAGCTCGGAAATATTCAGTGGTGTAAATGAAGTCTGTGGCATTACACTGCGTTTGTCGTTGTGATCAAAAGAAAAATACAGACACTCGGCTAGATTTGAAGGCAAACATTCATTTTTGCCCTTGGGTGAGTTAATTACATGTAAAATAAAGAGAAAAGCCCTGACAACGAACATCTCGTACAAAAATTTACCACATCTCTTACAAAAATTTACCGCATCTCGTACAAAAATTTACCACGCAAAGTAACAAAAGTGAGAAGAGGTCATTTGGCTCAAGTTGTAGTGATAAATAACCTACAGGGTATTTTGAAATTAACACTGTACTTTTCAATATTCAACAGATTAGCTCGCGGAAAATTTCCCTCACTCGCTCGCTTCTTGGACAACCAAGCTCTTTGTTTTTTTTTCTTTCTAGGGAAGATGGCAATCTATTATCGAATATATGCAGAATTCGAAACGACAACGAACATCTCGTACTAAAATTTACCACGCAAAGTAACAAAAGTGATAAGAAGTCATTTAGCTCAAGTTCTAATGATAAATAACCTACAGGGTATTTTGAAATTAATTCAACATTCAATTGCAATAAACGTATGTTAATAAGAAATAAAAATCGGACATGATATTAAGGGACTGACGTACATGCTAAACCAGACAGCGTGCGATAGCAAATCGACTGTTTGCCGTTAAATCAAACTTTCAATTCCTTCGCAAGCGCCGTCGACCAGTATTTTTTTCATGGCACAGTAGAAAACAGATTCTGGACAACACTGTACTTTTCAATATTCAGCAGATTAACTCGGGAGAATTTCCCTCGCTCGCTCGCTTCTTAGGCAACCAAGCTCTTTGTTTTTTTTTCTTTCTAGGGAAGATGGCAATATGTTATCGAATATATGCAGCATTCGAAAGGAAATTGTGTTTACTGACACCTACCAAGAATTTCTTCAGTTTAAATAATCAGACCCACAAGAAAAAATTTATGATAGTAACACATTTTTATGAAGAATTAACTTTATTGAAGAATTAATTTTATTGAAGAATTGACAAAAGGTTGTGTAAATATTTTTTCGTTCGCTAGTTCTCTTCCTTTATTTCGTAAACATTGCAGGGGAGGCAAATATTCTGCTGTTTAGAACCACGATAAACTATGTTGTGGAGCTGGGAAACAAAAAAATGTTTTTGCCTCGCGTATAAAACATTTCGCAAATTTTGCTTCCGAAACATGCCAGTTGGCCATATTGAAAACAATGTTGACTAGTTATTATTTAGGGTAGCCCATTGAAAATGTTTCCTAGCAACAGCGACGGTTACCATGATGAACATTTGACTTGGCTGAAGGGGAAATGCGTAAAACTTCGCCATCGGCTGGCAAGAAAGCCAACCAAAAGTTTAAGGCCTGGCTGAAGAAAAAAAAATTTTTGTCAAAAACGGCTTCAGGGTGAAAGCAATCATCCCCTAAAATTACGTAGCGAATGATGCTTTTGGAAGCCAATTTATAATCATGCGCATGCGTGTCTCTTTATTTTTCCGAACCTAGGGTCTAACCATATGTGCATGTTCTGACAGGAGCGGCCCAAGCTCCAGCTGTGAGATGATCATCTTGCGAAGCTAGGGTCATGGCGAAATTAAAAGAGTTTGTATGGGAATATCTACGACCGCCCTTAGGAATAAAAAATAAGTCAAATTCTCAATAAAAAATACCTCACTGTACTTCCATTGTGCATCGCTTGTTATCTGACCGCTTACTATATTGAAAAGAACCCATTTCAGCGAGTTCTCCATTTCTGAGTTTACCGCATAAGAATATGTAAGATGATCATTTCACAGCTGGAGCTTGCGCCGCCAGTGGTTCAGATCATTTGAAAGGCACTTTCGTGCTTTAAAAAACTACTTGATTTTGCCTTGGAAACCGTATCACAGTGCGTCAATAATTAGTAAGTCACCATCTCAGGGCATTAAGTTGTAAATGTTTGCCGTGAACTACAAAAATTTCTTCGATGGTACGACTCGCCAGACCGCTAAAGAAGAAACTGGGATCGAAGCTTCTTTGGATATGCTTCGCGACAATTTTTCTCACATGCGTGCATTTCGTTGGTCTTTTCCTTAAACCTTTGGATTACCATGATGAACAGCACAGTGAAATTGGAGTCCATGATTTCGGCGAGTTTAAGACATTCCTTGGTGGTTCGACAAAAAAAGCGCGTAGAAATCTAATAATTGTATCTCATGGCCGCTCTGGGTCTTCGCTGACAGGAGATATTTTTAACCATCATCCCTCAGTGTTTTACATGTACGAACCGTTACAAACCGCTCAACGAGTTTACAAGAAGAGCGGCAATCAAACTAGTTACAACAGGCTGGCCGAAAAGCTATTAGCCTCCCTCGTTCAATGCAGATTCGATCAGCCTCAGACCGCACTGGCGGACATTGAGAATTATTACCGTAAACCAGCACATCCGCGCATCAGCCATGCAATGGGATCACCGCCTCTGTGTCCAGTTGAGATGACGGATCCCAAATGGAGTACCGAACTTTGCCCTCCTTTGTCAAGCCAGTCCTTAGGTGACGTCTGTAAGGATAAGTACAATTTGACCGTCTTGAAAATCCTTCTCTCCCGAATTCCTGAGAATAATATGAAAACCGTTTTAACCGCTTGTGACTCGCACGACGTCGAATGCAAGATTATCTTCCTCGTTCGAGACCCTCGAGCAGTGATCCCATCTTCACTTCAGATTGGTTTTTTCAAAGAAAAAGGAGGGTCTGATTCTAAGTTAGGCACCAGGGTGTACAGTTACACGCTGTGTCAACAAACAGAGAGGAATTTGGAGCTAGTGAGGAGGTTACCAGATTCTTTGCGAGCACGGATTATGCTCCTGCGGTACGAGGACTTAGCGATGGAGCCATCAAAAGTGTTAGAAAGACTTTACGACTTTGCTGGGTTGTCTTTGTTGGAAAGCGTGCGCGCATGGCTAAACGAAACCACGCAGCAGAGTAGGAAGGACTGTAATCGTGAATTAGATGGCCCTTTAGTCACATGCACAAAAGATGATGCTTGGGCAGCGGCTAATCGTTGGAGGTGGAAGGTTCATCCACACGAAATCAACGTCATAGAGCATTACTGTCGAGGTGCGATGCGCCTGATGGGATATCGGCCTGTGGACATGTCACATGACCTATTAGCGAACGACAAGATTCCGCTGTTCAGCGATGACTATGAAGCGAAACTCTGGTTTTTAAATTGAATGAAATTTCAGACTGTATTGAATATAAATATATAAGTGACGGTGATTTCCATGATTACAAACGTTCAGCCTCAGCATGCTGTGATTGGTTCAAGAACTCGCACAACTTTCCTAAACAAGAATAAAGGGGGAAAGTTTCTAAACTGCGGTGCTGTGTATGTTGGGGGAACGATTACTAGATAATTTGGTTTCATCAACTGAGTTTATATCGTAAGTTGGCTACCGCAAAGAGTTTCTAAGGCTGACGTCCACCGTCGAGTGTTAGCCTTTCGACAGAACTCTTCGCCCTGATAAAGGGCTAACTCTCGTAACAGTTGATAAAACCAACTCATTCCTTAAACAAGAGTTGTACAACAATTCGGTTTCATTGATTATATACAATACACTTGTCATATATGAACCACGGGCTTTTCCCCATGGATACTCATATTTCTCCTACATCACGCGCTTATAACAAAATGAATGTAGTCTTTCTTGTTCATTTTGGCCACTTTCGAGGCAATCCTTTGGTCTGAAAAGATCATTTCAGCTAAAAATACTACATGTGCAGTTGTGTACAAAATTCAGGCTTGAACTAGAGAATCGAGAAACGATAAAACGAGACCTGAAATAGTTTATTGTACGGAAAGGTCTTGTGCTTGTATATATCGAAATGCCCAATTTCACTCTCGAACTTCGCTTTCAAGGCGCGGACTGGTGAATTTTGACAGAAAAGTACTCCTATAACACTGAAATCAACAGAGCATTAATTTGAAAACAATCAGAAAATGGCAAACACTTGTTAAGCGCAATTAAGGCTTGGGGTAGTCCCTTGTAGATGGTGCCAGCATTATAATTTAGAAAAACGAACATAATTTTTGCTCTTTTCATTAAAAGTAGTACTGCTGGCATACTCAGCACATTTTTTTTCGTTTTTTCGAAGGAACATTGTTAGAGTCATGACTTGTTTGGTTTCTAAGATTTGTTTTTTTCAAGTTCAGTCCATGGTCCAGTCTAATTTTGCAATGTCTTGGGTGAAGGAGGTTACCTCAATACTGAGTCGTTCGATGTGTAAAGGACTGGGCACACCGGAAGTAAAGAAAGCGTTAATCCCAGTTTCCGCTTTCATAAAAAACAAAGTGGCGTCGAAGATAACCGTGATGCTAACAATAACATTGTACATTTTGACACTTCAAGTCACCGCTTCTAGTCTGGAATTAAGTGCAGTAGTTAATTATGTTTTATCAGAGCAAGTATATAGCACAAAATAAAGAGGATATCATGATTTCTTAACAATAAATACATTATTTGGATTTGTTTTGTGTTTCTTATTTAAAAAGCATGTACTTTGAGAAAAGGTAATACAATTTTCAGAAACAAGCATAATTTTGAGCATAACTCGGAAAAAATTTATCAATGCTAGTAGCATAATACGCTATTTTTACAAGCACAATCTATGAAGGCCTACCTGAGGTGAATTTTCAGTAAACGACGTCATTGGGCACAGGAGCAGTTTAGCGCCAGGCATTTGAGCCGATGGGGGAGAGGGGGAGGGGGAAGGGAGAATTTTGCTCGTGCTTCGGCCTCAATCGGACATCTATGCAATTTTAACTTTTCATACAAAAACTGGAAGGTAGTTTTTCGTAGATCTCGAAGCTGCTTTCCCGCAATACGTTTTTTTTGTTAAGTTGCATTTGCCACAGCACTTCAATAGGTGACGGTTGGAAATTACAAAGTCAGTTATACAGCTGGACAGTGAATGACGCGAGGTGTATTGCTACTTCTTCCAAGATGGGGGTGACCATCACAGACTACCTCTCTCTTCCCCTCCCCCCGGCAGATCGCCGGAACTTTCTTATGAGGGTGGAGAGGTTCTGCCGGTTTAGAGGCTTTTCTAAGAACAAAAGAAACAGAGTGACAACGGATTTGTTTTTAGGGCACAAGCACCAAATGCTTTCAGGATGGATCTGATAGGCTATGATGTTACAAGGGTAGCCTAGGTAAAATTTAATGAGAGGCAACTGGGCATTTGTTGAATAACGTTTTCAAGGAAACAAGCCGAGAACTACCATTCAATTAATCGTTACCAAACAAAACCGTGTTAAGCCACCTTACTTTCTGCGGCGTTTTATTTGTGGTATCTTTTTTTTTTGTGGAAGTTATTTTTGCAGATCAATGATGACCCCCCCAAACTCAGCAGAATTGAAACCCGCCAAGGAGCAGAGAGATTTCCTCACGCGCG